GAATTGACAGAATGATGCCATATGAGAGACCTCCGGTCCCGGCTTGGGACCTTAGTCTAAGGCCTCCAAAAAGGCGCAGCCCGGACAAGGGCAAGAGCCCGGGGCAGCCCGTGGGGCTAGGAGAGGTCCGTCGGCCCTCCACCCTAGAAACTTTTGAGGCAGCCTAGGACCTCATTCACATGGCTGTGGATGAAGGAGAGGGCCCGGTGCCGCAGGAGCGGACCGCGCCGGCACCGGCCTTAAGTGCCCCCCAGCAGGCTATGGCCGGGTCGTGGGACCCTCTGGGCGAAGGGCAGGCCTCGGCCCAGCAGCAGTTTTTCCTGGTGCCGGGAAGAACACCGGCACCGGAGCCGGGACGAACGCCGGCACCGACCCCGGGCCCCTTCCTGGCAGCACCGACAGCGGCACCGGGGCCGGGCCCCTTCCCGACGGCAGCGGCACCGGGAGCGAGTGCACTTGCGGCACCGACAGCACCGGCACCGGTGCAGGGTCCGGTGCCACAGACGGCCCCCTGGGCGGTGCAGGGCCCCGCACCGTTCTATGCGCCATCTGCGATGCCACAGCAGGCGCCCTGCACGGCACCGATGCTGATGCCTCTCCCGGCACCGATCCCTGCTCACACCTTGGGAGCGACAACCCAGCAGCAGGGTGTGGCGCCGCTGCACATGACGGCACCGGAGGGTTATTTACCGGCCTATCAGATGCAGCTGGGCACGGTACCGCTACAGCAAGGACCTCCACTTATGCCCCCACCGGCACCGTGTGCGGTGCACAGGGGCAAGCCATCGGCCATGGCAGCGCAGCGTAAGGTGCAGGCTTCCTCGGCCCCTCCCTGGTCAGCATCAGAATACTCTTCGGAGTCTGAGGCCGAATCGGTGGCATCGGCCAGGTCATCATACAGGTCACGGCCCCGTCATAGGTCTCGCTCATCGGTCAGATCATCTCACCGGGAACCAGTGGACCAGCAGCAGTGGCAGGGGCAACCTCAGTGGTCAAGACGCCCGGTTATTGGTCAGGGGCAGGGGGCTATGTCCCAGCCGGGCTCAACCTATATGGACATCTCTGCCCAGGGGGAACCAGGGGCACAGCTCGGCGAGGAGGAGGCAGTCTCCTCAAGGGAGTTCTCATCATCTTCACCAGACGAGGCCCTGGCCGACCCTGCGCCCCAGCCCCCGTCAATGGACTCCAGGGTGTACCAGGAGCTGTTCCTAAGACTGGCGGTCAATCTTGCAGTCCAACACGAGGAGGTTCACGAGGACCTAGATCCTATGGTGGACATCATAGCAGCAGCGGGCCCTGGTCGAGTGGCGCTCCCGCTGAATAAAACGGTGGACAAATTGTCCAAAACTCTGTGGCAGACGCCGGCTTCTATTGCACTGACCCAGAAGGGGGTCGAGAGAAGGTACTATGTGCCCCAAGCGGGGCACGAGCATCTTTTTAACCACCTGGCTCCGGGTTCCATAGTGGTTCAGGCCGCAGGGCAGAAGGAGCGCCAAGGGCCTCCAGGTCCTACTCCGAAGGCGAAGGAGCCCAGGAGATTGCACCTGCTTGGCCGGAAGGCCTACGCCACGGGGGGCCTCCAGCTACGTATAGCTAACCAGCAACTAATGCTGGGGCGTTATGCCTTTAACACATGGGCATCTATGCAGAAATTTGCCAACCAGCTTCTTCCTGAATCCCGCCAGGAATTCGGGCCCTGACGGAAGAGGGACAAGCAGTGGCGCGTACCTCTCTCCAGGAGGCCTTGGATGCGGCCGATTTGGCAGCCTGCACTATGGCCACAGGGGTTGTTATGAGGCGTAGTGTGTGGCTGCAGGTGTCTGGCATCCCACCCGAGGTGCAGACCACCATTCAGGACCTGCCCTTTGAGGGGCCAGCCTTGTTCTCAGAGCAGACTGATTCCAAGCTTCATAGCTTGAAGGACTCAAGAGCAACCCTGAAGTCGCTAGGGATACATACCCCGGCGCCTCAGAGGCGCTCCTTCCAGACTAGACCCTACCCTAGAAGGGGGCAAAACAATGATAGGGGTCGCAGGAGGGGTCGTAACAATAACCGCCCTGACCTCTTCAGAGGCAGGCGTAGGGGCCCTCGGTCAGACTCCGAGAGAGGCTCAGGCCCGTCACCCGGTCACCAAACTAAGCCCTCATTTTGAAGGTACTCCAGAGAACAGAGTACCAGTAGCACCTACCTGTCCACCCTTTGGGGACCGTCTTTCCCTCTTTTACCTCTTTTACCAGGGTTTCTACTCCCGCTACTTCCTAGTACCCAAGGCGAAAGGGGGCATGCGTCCCATACTAGACCTCCGAAACCTGAACACCTTTATAAGGAAGGCAAAGTTCAGGATGGTGACGCTAGCCTGCATCATCCCATCGCTCAGAAAGGGGGACTGGTACGCTGCTCTCGATTTGAAGGATGCGTACTTCCACATTTCAATTTTTCCGAGTCACAGAAAATTCCTACGGTTCACAGTGGGACAGGACCACTTCCAGCTTACGGTCCTCCCGTTTGGACTGTGTACAGCCCAGAGAGTCTTTACCAAATGTATGACGGTGGTAGCTGCGTTTCTGTGGTGGCACAGGGTCCAAGTGTTTCCATATCTGGACGATTGGCTCATAAGGGGCAAGTCTCGAGAACAGGTGTTGGATCATGTCTCAAGGACCAGGGTTTTGTTCGAGAGTCTTGGCCTCCTCATAAACGAGGCCAAGTCATTGCTAGATCCCACGCAAGTCATAGACTTTGTGGGGGCCCATCTGGACTCGCCTTTGGGCAAGGCGTCCCTACCGAGAGACAGATTCATGGCTATTCACTCGCTGGTAGTGGGGCTGCAGGAGTTCCCAACTACGACGGCGAGGACCTGTATGAGGCTCCTAGGCCACATGGCGGCGTGCACTTATGTGGTCCAACACGCCAGGCTGCGCATGCACCCATTGCAGGGGTGGCTCAGGGTAGCGCACAACCCCTTGAGGTCGCCGCTAGATGCGGTAGAGACTATCCCTCAGGGCATTCC